AGCAAGTGATGTGCAGTGGGCACTGCAGAAGAGACTGGTTAGCACAAAGTCAGTCAGAGCCCACTCAGAACTGGCCAGAATCAGGGGTGGGGCCAAGAGGACGTAAGGGATCATAAGAAGCATCAGCTGAACGTGCTGTGATGGAGATGTGCACAGCGGTCCATAGGAGGGCCATTTGGTCCAGCTAGAGTGTTCAATGCACATTTGTTGGACTAAACTGAAAGGAGTAAAATACACGATTTATTAGATTATGCTAAGTGAGGTTGGGAGACTTCCAAAACTTGAGATATTGTAAGATCTGAGCCCACGGTTCAAACCTGGGGCAAAGAAACCACACATCTAGTAGAACAAGCACTGTGTGGCATGATACAATTGAGTGAAGAAAGCAAAACTTCCTCACATGGAGGAAGTGCCCATCAGTCCACCCAGGCTGAAAGGACCAATCCATGGACAAGCTTCCAAGCCAAGGTGGCTGGTCTGGAGATGCCCCAAGGGCAAAAGGGAAGAGGCAACAGACCCAGGGAGTGGACAGAATGCTCAGGAGTGGAATGGAACTCCGGACACCTGAGTTCTACCATCACCCAGCTCAATCTTGTCATGCCTCAGTCTTCTCATCTGCCACATGGAGAGAGTAATCTTCAATCTGACTCCTCTCATGAATGCATTGGGCATACTGCTGTCATTGAACATACAACATTCCATGCTCATTTCACTGTGAGCTCTTGGAGAGCAGAGACTCCTCTTGATTTCTCTCTGTATCCTTCACACCCAACCAATGGCTAATATATAGCATAGGTACTCAGTACATTTTTGGATGAATACATGAATGCCTGAAGGAGTGGATTTCCTCACAGAGAAAAGCATGTGAAAGATGTTGAAGTAGTATAATGTCCACATATGAGATGGCAATGTGGTAATGGTAGCCTGAGGCTGAACGTATACTTGGGAGACATTAGACCGATCTGAAATGAAAGCAGTCAGGATATAAATTTGATTTATTTTCAGGCTCGTCATCTTCTCGGCTTCTTCATATTATACCATGATTATTCCCTTCTCTGCTGTTTTCACCCTATAGCTCTTAGGTGTTGGAGGGACTCAGGGCTACAGACTAAAGAGGAAGCCTAGAGCAAGGGGATGTGGTGAGGAGGCAAGGCAAGGGACTGTGAAAACATTGAACATGCAGCCATTCACCCCTTCAGCAAACATTCATTGAGCACCTGTCATGGGTGGGCCCTCTGGGAATACAGCCGGTGACAAGACACGATCCGTCCCTTCCTTGGCTCACCTCTGCAGTGGACACACACACACACACACACACACACACTCAGAGGTGTCTCCCCTGCCTCCCTCCCCCAGCACTGTGGAACTGAAGTCACCCACACTCTGAAATAGCCTTGCAGCTGGAAGGGGCCTCAGGATCCTTAAGTCCAGTGGCAGCCTTATACAAACAAGGTACCTGGAACCCACCAGCTCCTGGGGCTAGACCTGGAGATGAGGCTTCTTACATTTTCCACCCCTCTGCCTCTCTACGGCTCCCTGCTTGTGTATGAGAAACCTCATCCTAGGCTTTGGGGATGGGGAGACTACCCCCATGTCTCTGCAGGAAAAATCCAAGAGACAGGGAGTCTACCAGGATCTCTAGCACTTCCCCACCTGTTGTTTTGTTGGCCTGTTGCTGCTCTGGGCAGACAGAACATTTTCACTTCTGGTCCCCAAGTGTGAGAATTCACCAGGCCACTGGCTTCCTGTTTTGTACCAGATCTGCTTAAATATCACTGTTTCTAGATGGTTTTTGATCACTAAGCACTTTAAAAAAGTAATGATAGACTGATCTACTCCCACTTTGAGGTTCTCAGAACCCTGGGCCAGAGAGAGGGACACCATAGACACTGGGCCCTCCATCCGTGGTCAGTGGCATGGAGCAAGGTCATTACAGCTGAAAAGGAAGCTACAGGAGAGCAGAGCTCCCCCCTCACCTGTCCAGCTACTTCATGGGTTTGGCCATTATCTCTCAAATAGAAAAAGTCACTGTGAGCACTTTCTCCAGATCTGCATCAGTTGATGATCAAAGGGTTGAACATGATTGAGGACGGAAAGAGAAAATCAAAAGTTTTGGTTTTCCGAGCACCTGGGATTGGACCAGGGATGAAGCAACACCCAAGATTCCCTGAAGAGACTGAAGAATCTTTCAACATAATTTCCTGAGGAGTTCCTGGCTATGGCCAGAGCCGTGCAAGGTACCATAAAGAACTCAGGAAAAGTATAAGATCTGAATTTTGCCGCAAAAAGTACCCATCAAATAGGAGAAAGCAAGGTTAATCTCAAGAGAGACTGGATTCCTGCACAGTGCCTAGCACAGTTCCTGGCCTGTTAGAGAAACTGCATGAATGAATAAATACAAGGGAATGATCAAGAATTAAGTTATGGTAGCCAGAGAGTATTTGTAATTAAAACTCAGAAGACAAGAAGATCCATAGATGTTGAAGAAGTTTCTCTGGAGAAGTGAAAATTGAGGTGACCTAAAGAATGCACAGAATTTGATGATTTGGAGGTGAAAGGGGATATAAAAAATAAAAGAAAGAATGAGGAATGGGTCAGTGGGAAGCTCAGGGCTGAGGACAAGGCCTAAGAGGCCAGGCTTCTGAGAAGCCCTTCTCACCACACGAGGGGACCTGGGAAAGAGATTAGAGACCAGAGCGAGGGGGCCAGGGAGCTCAGGGAGCTGCTAGCTTGGGCAGAGGCTAAAAGTGAGCAAGAGTTATAAAGACAACACATTCTTGCCTAGCCTTAAGCAAATCATTTCACCAGACCCTGAGCCTCTGTTCCCTCACCTGTGAGGCTGGGAGGATGAAGTGACACAGTGCATTTGAAGTCCCTGCTTTGCACAGATCTTTGTTCAGCAAATGTTAGCGTTTTACCTTCCTGCTCAAGAAGGGCTCGGTCGGGAATGGTCCAGTCTCGTGAGCTGGTCAGACCTAGCCAAGGTCAAAGAAAGACTGAGTAATATTTAGGATCCTAAACCATCAGGGTCTAAGGGAACTGCAGCCATCACCTTTCGGCTGCCACCTCCTGAGTTAGAGAGTTATAACTACACTTTGTAGTATACTTGCCTCTTTTGTGTATTGAATGCCTACCAAGTGACAGGTGCTGTGCTAAACACAGAGAGTACAGAGATTAGAAGGTGAAACTCTTTTTCTCCTTCAAGTAAAAGAGAGGAACCTTGGAGAAGTAGTCCAGTCCTCGATGGCCAGATGCTGAAATTGAAGCCCAGGGTGGTGAAGTGACAGCCCATGGCCACACAGCATGGCAGGACAGGTCAAGACCAGACCCTGTTCTACAGTGTTCAACCCTCCTCCCACCAGCCCCGAGATCAGGCTGCATCTGTGAGGCCTCAGATTCTACTCAGGCTCCAATGCAGTCAGTGGCTGGCTGTGCAGCCTTAGGCAAAGCATACACCTCTCTGAGCCTCAGCCTCTCCATATGTAAAATGGGACCAGTAATCATCTCCACGTCACAAGGTTGCTACAAGGTTCAAGACACAGTAACACGCATGGAAATGCGTTGTACTCTGCAGACTGCATATTGTATCAGCAGTTTCTGCTCTTCCTCATGTCACCTTGGCGTCTTTCTCTAGGACAAGGCAGCCTTCTGTGGCCAGAGAAACTGGGTGTTTCTCTCCACTCAGCAGGCATCTATTAAGCACCGCCTATGGACTCCACTTTTAGCAGTTACTAAAAACCTGTGGGACGTAACCCTGCCTGATCGGGTGACCTCAAGTCTAGAGTCCTGAGGGAAGCCACAGGCAAGATGAGACTTAAGCCAACCGTGGAGACTAGATGTGGCTGGGGGTGGGGGGAGTGGGGAGGAGAAGGCATTCTAGGCAAAGGCAGCCCTGGCAAAGACACCAAAGAGGAACCTGGTGGCAGTGAACATGGGAAGGGCCACGGAACTGCTGACACTCGTGACCGCTTCCTGGCTCCTGGGGCCAGTGAGATGAGGAATAGTTAAGGGGAGAAGGAGGGCCTGGGTGGGGGGGGGGGGTCGGTGCTGGCACGGCCATGGGTCTGGGTGCCCAGCCAATGCCCACACCAACCAGACTTGAAGCCAGATTTCTCAGCATCTTCTCCCTTATCGTTTCTGAATCAGCTGGAATCTGCCCCCAACGGAAACATGTAGAATCCAGGGTAAAGAAAGCCGTGCTAGCTGGTCAGACTACGGAAGTCAGGAAAACGAGGGGGAGGCAGAGAGGACAGGGAACGCGTCAGAGGACCCAAAAAGAGGAAGTGGCCCAGTCTCAGTTCTGCTCCCAACTGAGGAGCAGAATGGAGGAAATACCCTCCTTTCTCCCAGCCCTGGGCAGCTGTCTCTGTCTCCTAACCTGAAGCCACCAAACCGGGGGCCGAGACCACTTGGGCTCTGGGCCCCATCCTTTCTGCTTTTCCCAAGGCCGCTGAGTTCTGAGCACTTTCAGGGGCCTAGGACAGTCCTGCCGGGGCTGCAGACCCAGGATCCACACTGAGCAGGGCATAGCTGAGAGTTTATTGAGGCTGGACACCCCCTGGGTTAAGCAATGGGGCTCAGCCCTCAGAACTGAAATGCAAGGAAGAAGGACACCAAAGTCAGCCCTTCCCCGGCAATAGGTCTTCAAGGAAGGGAGGGATCTAAAGTCACTGGGGGGCTCTTCCCCAGCCCCACCTACTCAGGAATAGAGGAGTTAGGGCCCAGCTGAAGACCTCCAAATCCGGAGCTTTGGTTTATTAAGCTGGAGCCTGGCTACATTGAGAGAATGGACCCCAGACCCCGGAGGGAAGTAAGGGGATAGCAGCTATAAGTCCCCTCTCGTTCGTTCGTTCGTTCGTTCGTTCGTTCGTTCCTTCCTTCCTTCCTTCCTCCCTCCCTCCCTCCCTCCCTTCCTCCCTTCCTCCCTTCCTTCCTTCCTTCCTCCCTTCCTCCCTTCCTCCCTCCCTCCCTCCCTCCCTTCCTCCCTCCCTCCCTCCTTCCCTTCCTTCCTTCCTTCCTTCCTCGGCAATCTGCTAGAACCCAAAGTAAGAAAGAAACCAGGCCTCAGGAAAGAGAGGATAGGAGGACAAATACCATGACTTCTCTCCTCCTCGCCTATCATGGTCCTGGGCTTCTGCATCTTGTCCACCTTGTTGCTGGGACATGGGCAGGGAGACCAGTGTCTGGTAGTTCTAACTGCAGTTTCAGCAGTGGCAGGGCCCCCTCAGGCCCTGCTCCATCCACAGCTGCCCCAGGAACTCAATCTCTCTGGACTGAACAACTCTGCATTAAGTACCTACTAAGCTGACATCCCAGTTCAGGCCCCACCTCGGGTCCAGTAGGGCACAGACCGGAGGAAGGAGTGATGACACACGAACAAACTGTTCTCCTGTCACAAAGCTACACTTGGTTCTTGATTTCCCGTGTGCACGATCTGTTTTTCTCAGGCTAACCTTGGTTCCTCTTCCCCACTCTCACCATTTCTGGTCCACTTTCCACATCACAAGGCAGGCCTTGCATGGGAAATGGAGGACATGGGAGACTGAGCTTGCCACACCATGCCCACCCCATCACAGGAAGCTAAAAACAAGAATGTGTTTCTAGACCGTTCTCAGCACCGCCCTCAAAATTGTTTGGGAGGCACCAAGGCTGGTCAGAAGCAGGGAAAACAGGCCCCGGTGGTGGACATGTGTGTGGGAGGGCATGAGGGGTTGGGGGACTTGCTGAAAGTGCCAGAACCAAGTTCGAGTCAAGGCCTAAGCTCAGCCTTCAGCCCTTAGGGAAACTTGGCTTCTGGTAGGAAGGTTGAAAGTGGAATCACCCTCCCTCCCGCATGACTTTGCCTATGGAGGATGTGACAGGTTTTCTGGCCCTTGTGTCAGTCCTGCAGGGAAGTGACTGGGGATGCCCCAGGTAGCAGGCCCCACCCACAGCGGCCAGCTGGGCACCTGGAACTCCGCCCGCAGGCTCAGAGGCCTCCCGGGAATCAGCCCTTTCTCGCTGGGACGCGGCCATCTCTGTTTCTGTGAGAAAGCCACCGTGACTCCACAGGCTCTGTCCCCAGAGGCCTGACTCTCCTGGGGGACTCTCATGCCACAGGCTGGTGGTGTCCCCAGAGAAAACTCCTCAGTGTCCACAAGAGGGGGTCAGGCCAGGCCTTGAAGACCTAGGGGTGGAGGCAGGGGAGGCTGGGAGGGGCAGGTGCTGAGCCAGGAGCCTCCTCCTGCAGAAAGAAAAAAAGGGAAAGTGACAAAGAGATGAGTCTCGGGAAAGATTCCTCTAAACCATCACATCAGGGCAGAGGGAGGAACACGCGGAAGAGGTGAGTGTGGGGTCCTGTGGGGAAGAGATGAGAGAGAAACTGAGGGTCTGTGAGGGACTCCTGGAGGGAGGAAATGTTTAGATGAGAGAAAGCAACTGAGCTGTGAAGAGGGATGGGCTTGAAGGCGCGCGAGGAAAGGTGTGACCAAAGGGTCAGCCAGCCAGGAAACAGGCATGGCTCCTGGGCTTAGAAAGTTCAGAAGCTCTACAGCAATGCTTCTTGGAGAGGGTGGCCATCTGGAATCTTCATCTCAGAGCAAAGGGTTGAGATACAAAGCTCTATTCTAGAAATTTCCATCTGATCAGAAATAGAACTTCCCCAGGAAAGAAAGGCAGGACATGGGTCAAGTGGAAAAGGAGCGGCCCAGGGCTAGCAGGAGGTGGGGAGTGGGAGACAGCACGACCCCAGGCCTTCATTCCTGAGATCGTCCCCTACAGCACTCACTCTCCAGGAGGCGGGGGATGAACCAAATCACCTCCGGGTTCCAAGCAGTCCTTGGTGCTAGGCTTGGGTGCCTGGACCATCTGAGGACCACACTGGGACATCAGACTCACTCAGCTCACCAACCTTCCACTCACCTCTCTGGGGCTCCAGAAAGCTGCTGCTACCCTCATCAGACCAACCTGTTGGAGAACTTCATGGAGCCGCCATCCGGCCACTGATGGTGAAGGGTGGACCCATCTCCAGATCCTTCATGTTCCTGAGAAAGGTGAGCCAATCAAGTTACTGGGGCTGAGAACAAGACCTCTCCCTGGGACCAGAGCATGGGAAGAACTTCTGGCAGTGACTCACTGACTCACTGGCTTATCTTCCAGAATCAGAGCTACCCCATCTCTCAGGCCAGATGAGAAGCTGCCATGTGACAAAGAGCAGATGAGATGACTTATCACAAGAGGAGTTTCCAAACCCCACACCCTGAAGGCCTGATTGTCTTCATTTGACAGCATCTTATGCCTGAGATTAAATTATCTGTAATCAGGCAGGTGTCCACCACCGACAGTGAAATGCTTGAAGACAGAAGCTATGCCCAGTTATCTTTGTACCCTTAGAAACTAACACCACAATACCTGCTACACTAGATCTTTACCGAATACATGATGGGTGAATGAATAAAGGAATGAATGGATGGTTGGATGGTGCCTGCCCAGGGGTGGATGCTAAGAGGAGCACTGTCATTTGGATCTTACATGGTCCTGTCCATGTTCAAGTTTTCATTCATGGAACTTTCTAGATGGACCCTGGCTCCTTCCTTTTCTCTTGTTTGTTTAGGGACATGGGGAGGACACAGGGAAGGCGAGCAGTGAATTTGAGTTCCATCTTTGGTTCTTTCTCAAGCATACCTAACCCCCCATGCCCATCCCACCCAGATCTGCCCTGAATCTACTCACCGGATTTGGTACAAGTTGAAGACAAAATTAGACCCTAGAAAGACAATCAGAAAAGAGAGGGTTAGTACCTATGGGGAGAGCGGTCCATCACTCTTCTGGGAGCATCTAGTTCTCCCTCACCGCTGTCTGGAAGGTGTGGGGTGGCTAGGCAGGGCTGCAGGATGCCATGGGAGGTTCCCAGTCCCTCAGCGTCTGCCCTCCTGCCCCAGACCCATGGGTACACCCCTTCTTCCCAGACAGAACCACCAGTCTCTGAGGATAGATCCTGCCACTGGGGATCCCTCCATCAGGGGCACTGATTACTCTGCGAAGGAGGCTTGAATCCAGACTCTGTGACTTTAGCCTCATCCTCATCTATAAAAAAGAGAGACTAAAAATTTCATCTTCGCATGTAATTTTAAAAAAAATCATACTAGGCTTGTGCATTGGCACATAGTAGGTGCTCAACAGACATCCACGGAAGCTGTTGAACTTAACTGCAGATCTGGGAGATGCCCTCTGCCTCTTGGCACTCCAGCGTGCCCTCCCAGTTCTCCTGGGTCCTATGGGAAGGGCAGATACGGATCAGAGCTGGGAGCAGCCCAGCAAATTCCAGGACACGCCCAGTGAGGCTGACGCATCAGCAAGCTTAGGAGAGAGTCCCAAGAGAGGGCAGGGCAAGAGAGGCTCTAGGAGCCAGGGTAGGAGACAGCTGCAGCTTGGCCTGTCTAGCACATCACCCTCAGCCTTGTGGCCCGCACAGGCCTGGGAGGTGGACTCCTGTGAGCTCTGAAGGACAAGGAAGCTGACTGCTTGCTGGGGGAGAAGAGCCTCCACTCCCTCAAAAAAGGCCCCACCCGCTCCCCCCACACACCTCAAGCGCTCAGCCACCCACCCAAGTCTTCAACCACTGCGGCCACCACAGGAAATATTTTTGCATGACTCTGTGCTGAAGAGTTTGCAGCCCCGCCTGGCCTGGCCAATTGCCACAGGAGAGGAGGGACTGGGCTGCGCTTGGGTGACAGGGTCCAGCGCTCACTCACCCTCCCAGCAGTACCCACGCTGGTACCACTTGGCCAGGCTGTAGCCCAGGATGGACACAAGCAGCAACGAGAGCCCCAGGCAGAGGAGCAGGCCCAAGGGGCTGATGGAGTCGTCACCTGCAGAGAGACACACATCCTTCACCCAGCTGCCCAGAGCCCTCTCGCGGCCCCGTACGCCAACTGACTGCATCATGTTCCAAATTTCCTCTCCTCCCTCCCCACTGCCATCAAAATGACTGTCCCCTAGGAATCTGGATCCTGGCCAGCTAGTTCAGCTAAGTCATGCTAAGATGTGAATGTCTGATACCTGATTTTTTAGTCAGCTTGTTTCTCCAAAGTAACAGTCCTCTGACAGTAGAGATAATTTGGAGCTGGGAAGCCTTCCTGAAGCTGTAGGCTTTCTACGTGTTGAAAAAGGCACTGCTGTTTGGGGAGAAGCCCAGGACGTCTCTCCTCTGCATGAAGCAGGAAGGGCAGCCTGGAGGGCCCCCGAGAGCAGAGACACACAGATCCTTGATCCTCTCCCCACAAAGCCCTCGTATGTGGTAGCAGGGTGTTAACCCCTGGGCTCTGTTTGCTGCTTATACTTATCACTTCTTCCCTGTTTGTGGTATGAGCTCTTGGTTAGATTTATATTTTATCTGTAAAGGCAAACCAAGAAAAAGAGCGAAAGAGAGGGAGGGAGAGAGAGAGAGAGACTGGAAACGTGCTGAAGCAGAAGCAGAGCAGGAAACCAGGTTTGTAGGGAGAAGCTGACCATGGGGGCACACGGAGACAACCCACCCCTGCTGGGGCAGGGAAGGAAGAGGCAGGGCAGCCCCACTCCTGCTGGATGAGGGGCCAGGAGTGTGAAAGAATCATCTGATTCCCCATCTCCATGGCTTGGTGTCTTGAGGCTCCAGAGGCGTCGCCAAGAGGCCAGAGGTGCAAGGTTACGCACAGCCTTTGGTACCGCAGGCTTGCATGCGAAGCCCATGCCCATCGTTTGCAAAATGTGGGGCCCGAGCAAACCCCTGTCCCTCGCAAGACTTCAATTTGCTCTTATGAAAAATAAGCATAATAATGAATACACATAGAGTTGTGGTGATTAGTGGAGATGCCATATATAGAGCACTTGGGAGAGGACCTGGCATACAGGAAGTGTTCAGTAGATGTTAATTACATCATTACTGTTGTTGTCATAATTATCATCAAGTAGTGAATTGTATTCTTAAATATTTCACAATTTCCCCCACCCTAGCCTTTCCCTCTCCCATGCCCCTGATCCTTCTTCCCATTAAAGCAGCCACGTTATTCTCTGAGAGAGTATGACAGCCAAATGCAGGGAGAAAGGGTCTCTCCTCCTACTTTTAGATTCCAAAAGCCCAGACCCTTAGAGAAATGGCAAGGATTCCCAACATAGACAAGAGATGAACAGAACCAAGATTACTCTTCTCACTACACTAGGGGAAAATTTCCAGCCTGGGGGAGGAGAAGGGAGAAAGTGAGGTAAGAGAGATGGGAAAAAAGCACTGGAAAACATTGAAAAGATGTCAATGGGCCACAGAGAAAAAGTCCTTACTCTCCAATGGAAGTGGAGCCCCGGGGAGGCAACAGAATTCCCAGGTAGAGTTGTGGGATCCGAGAGCTGGACTGAGCCCCAGAGAGACAGCAGGAGCTCAGTAAGGGAGACCTTCAAGATGGTGGAGGAGTAAGACGTGGAGATCACCTTCCTCCCCATAAATACACTAGAAATACATCTACACGTGGAACAATTCCTACAGAACACCTACTGAACGCTGGCAGAAGACCTCAGACCTCCCAAAAGGCAAGAAACTCCCCACGTACCTGGGTAGGGCAAAAGAAAAAAGGAAAAACAGACACAAAAGAATAGGGACGGGACCTGCACCAGTGGGAGGGAGCTGTGAAGGAGGAAAGGTTTCCACACGCTAGGAAGCCCCTTCACTGGTAGAAAAGTGGGGGGGGGGGGCGGGCTTCAGAGCCACGGAGGAAAGCGCAGCAACAGGGGTGCAGAGGGCAAAGAGGAGAGATTCCCGCACAGAGGATCAGTGCTGACCAGCACTCACCAGCCCGAGAGGCTTGTCTGCTCACCCACCGGGGCGGGCGGGGCTGGGAGCTGAGGCTTGGGCGAGGTCAGACCCCAGAGAGAGGACTGGGGGTGGCTGAGTGAACACAGCCTGAAGGGGGCTAGTGCGCCACGGTTAGCCGGGAGGGAGTCCGGGAAAAAGTCTGCACCTGCCTAAGAGGCAAGAGACCATTGTTTCGGGATGCACGAGGAGAGGGGATTCAGAGCACCGCCTAAACGACCTCTAGAGACGGGCCTGAGACGCTAAGGCTGCTGCTGCCGCCACCAAGAAGCCTGTGTGTGAGCACAGGTCACTATCCACACCCCCCTTCCGGGGAGCCTGTGCAGCCCGCCACTGCCAGGGTCCCGGGATCCAGGGACAACTTCCCCGGGAGAACACACGGCGCGCCTCAGGCTGGTGCAACGTCATGCCGGCCTCTGCCGCAGGCTCGCCCTGCACTCCGTACCCCTCCCTTCCCCCGGCCTGAGTGAGCCAGAGCCCCCAGTCCGCTGCTCCTTTAACCCCGTCCTGTCTGGGCGGGAACAGACGCCCTCCGGTGACCTACATGCAGAGGTGGGTCCAAATCCAAAGCTGAACCCCAGGAGCTGTGCAAACAAAGAAGAAAAAGGGAAATCTCTCCCTGCAGCCTCAGGAGCAGCGGATTAAATCTCCACAATCAACTTGAGGTACCTGCATCTGTGGAATACCTGAATAGACAAGGAATCATCCCAAAATTGAGGCGGTGGACTTTGGGAGCAACTGTAGACTTGGGGTTTGGCTTCTGCATCTAATCTGTTTCTGGTTTTATGTTCATCTTAGTTTAGTATTTAGAGTTTATTATCATTGGTGGATTTGTTTATTGATTTGGTTGCTCTCTTCCTTTTTTTTTTTTTTTTTTTTTTTTTTGCGGTACGCGGGCCTCTCACTGTTGCGGCCTCTCCCGTTGCGGAGCACAGCCTCCGCACGCGCAGGCTCAGCAGCCATGGCTCACGGGCCCAGCCGCTCCGCGGCATGTGGGATCCTCCCGGACCGAGGCACGAACCCGTGTACCCTGCATCGGCAGGCGGACTCTCAACCACTGCGCCACCAGGGAAGCCCACTCTCTTCCTTTTTTAATATATATATATAAATTTTTTTTTCGTTTTTCTCTTTTTGTGAGTGTGTATGTGTACGCTTCTTTGCGTGATTTCATATGCATAGCTTTGCTTTATTTGTCCAAGGGTTCTGTCTGTCCTTTTTGTTTTTAGTATAGTATTTAGCGCATGTTATCATTGGTGGATTTGTTTATTGGTTTGGTTGCTCTCTTCTTTCTTTCTTTTTATATAACTTTTTAATTTTTATTTTTAATAATTTTTTTACTTCAATAACTTTTTAAATTTTTATTATTATTTTCTTTCTTTCTTTTTTTTCCTCCCTTTTCATTTGAGCTGTGTGGCTGACAGGGTCTTGGTGCTCCGGCCAGGTGTCAGGCCTGTGCCTCTGAGGTGGGAGAGCCGAGTTCAGGACATTGGTGCACCAGAGACCTCCCGGCTCCACGTAATATCAAACAGCGAAAGCTCTCCCAGAGATCTCCATCTCAATGCTAAGACCCAGCCCCACTCAACAACCAACAAGCTACAGTGCTGGACACCCTATGCCAAACAACTAGCAAGACAGGAACACAACCCCACCCATTATCAGAGAGGCTGCCTAAAATCATAATAAGGTCACAGACACCCCAAAACACACCACTGGACGCAGTCCTGCCCAACAGAAAGAAAAGATCCAGCCTCATCCACCAGAACACAAGCACCAGTTCCCCCCGCACCAGGAAGCCTACACAACCCACTGAACCAACCTTAGCCACTGGGGTCAGACACCAAAAACAACAGAAACTACAAACCTGCAGCCCTACCCCAAACACAGTAAGTTAAGCAAAATGAGAAGACAGAGAAACACACAGCAGTTGAAGGAGCAAGGTAAAAACCCACCACACCAAACAAATGAAGAGGAAATAGGCAATGTACCTGAAAAAGAATTCAGAGTAATGATGGTAAAATGATCCAAAATCTTGGAAATAGAATGGAGAAAATACAAGAAATGTTTAACAAGGACCTAGAAGAACTAAAGAGCAAACAAACAATGCTGAACAAAACAATAAATGAAATTATAAATTCTCTAGAAGGAATCACAGCAGAATAACTGAGGCAGAAGAACGGTAAGTGACCTGGAAGATAAAATAGTGGAAATAACCACCACAGAGCGGAATAAAGAAAAAAGAATGAAAAGAATTGAGGACAGTCTCAGAGACCTCTGGGACAACATTAAACGCACCAACATTCAAATTATAGGGGTCCCAGAAGAAAAAGAGAAAAAGAAAGGGACTGAGAAAATATTTGAAGAGATTGTAGTTGAAAAGCAAATATTTTCTCCATTCTGAGGGTTGTCTTTTCATCTTGTGTATGGTTTCCTTTGCTGTGCAAAAGCTTTTAAGTTTCATTAGGTCCCATTTGTTTATCTTTGTTCTTATTTCATTACTCTAGGAGGTGGATCAAAAAAGATCTTGCTATGATTTATGTCAACTAAAAATAGAATTACCATATGATCCAGCAATCCCACTACTGGGCATATACCCAGAGAAAACCATAATTCAAAAAGACACATGCACCCCAATGTTCACTGCAGCACTATTTACAATAGCCATGTCATGGAAGCAACCTAAGTGTCCATCGACAGATGAATGGATAAAGAAGATGTGGCCCATATATACAACGGAGTATTACTCAGCCAAAAAAGGAAAAAACTGAGTTATTTGTAGTGAGGTGGATGGACCTAGAGTCTGTCATACAGAGTGAAGTAAGTCTGAAAGAGAAAGACAAATACCGTATGCTAACACATATATATGGAATCTAAGAAAAAAAAAAATTGTTCTGAAGAGCCTAGGGGCAGGACAAGAATAAAGACGCAGGTGTAGAGAACGGAATTGAGGACACGGGGAGTAGGAAGGGTAAGCTGGGACGAAGTGAGAGAGTGGCATGGACATATATACACTACCAAATGTAAAATAGATCGCTAGTGGGAAGCAGCCGCATAGCACAGGGAGATCAGCTCGGTGCTTTGTGACCACCTAGAGGGGTGGGATAGGGAG